TGCATTTAATGAATGCGTAGGTTCTTTTAAATTCCTGTAAAGCTTGAAAACTACCTAACTATTTTTAAAGCAATATAAATATAGACATTGGAAGCTTTGCTTTGAAATATCTCATATTAGTTTTAACAAATGACAGATGTTTTTGCTTATTATTCATAAATATATAATTATTATGTATGATGATAATTGACATAGATAAAGAAATTAAAGGAGATGTATAAGGTTTTCTTTGATTTAGAAAATTAATTTAACTTGAATTTGAACTTGAATTCCTTTACCACATTCCATTTGCAGTTGTCCGAACATATAGTTGCACTAGAGGGAGCATCGAAGCTAGAGGGTGGAAGAGTCGAAATAGCAGTCATCATGAGTTGAGTGTTGACAAACAAGTATCTAAATAAAACACTCTGTATATTATCACTTGATGTATTTGCAATGAGTGATACATGTTCAATTTATAGGCCTTTGGATATGGCCTCTCAACTACATGCATTTAATACAACTACTACCTTTCAACTACATATATTCAATACAACCACTATCTATCAACTACATACATTCAATACAACTACTACCTCTATAACCACTACCTCTCAACTACATGCATTTAATGTTTACCTAACAAAATCCCCCCATAAACTTAAATGTTTTTCTTGTCCTTCATTCCAAGCATCTTCTTGTTGTTCTCGAACAAAGTGGTTGACAGTGGCTTCGTGAACATATCTGCAGCTTGTGCTCGGGTTCCGACGTGCTCTAACTCCACATTTCCTTCTTTCACTTGTTCTCGGATGAAGTGAAACCGAACATCAATATGCTTGTTTCTCTCAAGATTGACCGGGTTCTTTGCCAATTCAATGGCCGACTTGTTATCAACTCGAATCACAGTCCCTTTTTCTTTCTTCAACTCCAGCTTGCTTAGAAGGTTTCTAAGCCAAACTGCATGACAAACACTCCAGGATGCTGCAACGTACTCGGCTTCACAAGTTGACAACGTTACAATGGGCTGCTTTTTTGAAAGCCAGGTGAATGTTGTGTTTCCCATGAAGAATACATATCCAGACGTGCTTTTCCAGTCATCAACATCTCCACACCAGTCACTATCAGAGTACCCTACTAGTCGATAATCATTCGTCCTAGTACACATTAGGCTAAGTGACACTGTTCCTTTCACATACCTTAGAATTCTCTTTAGTGCCTTCCAATGAGTATACCTTGGTTCCTCCATATATCGACTTGCTATTCCAACACTTAGCATTAAATCTGGTCTGGTATTTGTAAGATACCTAAGACTTCCAATCAGACTTCGATATTTGCTCGCATCAACTCGGTCTCCATCTGCATACTTAGAAAGTTTTGTACCAGATTCCATAGGGGTGGAAACCGGGTTGCAACTTGTCATCTTAAACTTCTTCAAGATCTCCTCAGCATATCTTTCCTACGACACAAAGATGTCATTCTTTCCTTGAACAACTTCTAAACCAAGAAAATACTTCATAAGACCCAAGTCAGTCATCTCAAACTCCTTCTTCATCATTTCTTTAAACTCTTCAATCAGCTCGGCATTATTCCCCATGAAGATAAGGTCATCAACATATAGGGCAACAAACATCACATCTTCTCCTTTCTTCTTTATGTATAGAGCATGTTCATAAGGACACTGCTCATATCCATTCCTTTTGAAGTAAGTGTCAATTCTTTCATTCCATGCTCGTGGGGTTTGTTTCAAGCCATAAAGTGCCTTCTTCAATCTCAGCACTTTCTTCTCTTCTCCTCTTCGCATGTATCTGAGTGGTTGTTCAACATATACTTCCTCCTCCAAGATTCCATTCAGAAATACCCACTTCACGTCCATCTGCAAGATTGTCCATCAGTGTTGAGCTGCTAAGGAAATTAGCAGCCTAATTGTTTCCATTCTCGTCACTGGGGCGAATACTTCGTCATAGTCTATTCCTTCTTTCTGCTTGTACCCCTTCACTACGAGTCGAGCTTTATATCGCTCAACTTCTCCTTCAGCATTTGTCTTCTTCTTGTACACCCACTTTACGCCGATAGGCCGCGTTCCTTTGGGCAAATCAGTCAGCTCCCATGTGTTGTTGCGTTCTATTGCCCTGATCCTCGTCCATTGCATTTTTCCACCTTTTCTCCTGCACGGCCTCTTCAAAACTTAAGTCTTCTGAATCTGTCAAGAGACATACAACATGCACTTTGTCAGTGGATTTGTATATATCTTGTAAACTTCACGCTCTGGGCTGTTGAGGTTCATCTTCTTCATCAGAAGTCTCGTGATCTCTCACAGTATGTGGTGTATCAACTTCCGAGCTTCTACTTCCTATGGACTCCTTCTCCGAGTTGTTCCAACTCCACTCGCTTTCTTCATCAATTTGAACATCTTGGCTCATGATGACCTTCTTAGTTATTGGGTTAAACAACATGTACGCCTTGGTTTTTTCATCATATCCAATAAACACGTACTTTTTGCTTCTATCTTCGAGCTTGGTCCTCTGTTGAGCTGGAACATGACCATAAGTTGTGTTATCGAACACTTTAAGGTGAGACACACTCGGTTTTCTTCCACTCCAGACTTCTTGCGGTGTCTTCTCGTTCAGTTTAGCATGTGGACATCTATTTTGCACATAGATGACACATTGCACTGCTTCTGCCCAGAACTCCTTTGGTACATTTTTGCTTCTCAACATTGTTCGAACCATGTCAAGAATGGTTCGATTCTTCCTCTCAGCAACTCCGTTTTGTTGGGGTGAGTATAGTGCTGTCAGAAATCTCCTTATCCCTTGCTCCTCGCAATACTTCATGAGTTCGGATGAAATGAGCTCGCCTCCTCGATCAGACCTAACAGATTTGATAGGCATGTCAGTCTCTTTCTCAACCATTGCTTTAAATCTTTTGAACACCTCAAACACCTCGGATTTCTCCTTCAAAAAATATACCCAGGTTTTTCTTGAAAAATCATCTATAAAAGAAATGAAATACCTTTTCCCACTGAAGGACTCAGGGGTAACCGGTCCACAAAGATCTGTGTGAATCAATCCGAGTTGTTCCTTTGCACGGTACTCGGTCGTCCTCGGAAATGAGGTCCTCAGATGCTTCCCGAGCACACACTCTTCACAAAATTTCTTTTCAAATTCCATAGACGGGAGTCCTCGCACCATCTCTTTCTTTACCAACTTGGTCAGCCCGCCAAAATGCAAGTGGCCAAACCGAAAGTGCCACATCACTGCTTCTTCCTTCACGTCAAGTTTCAAGCACCTCTCTTGGACTATCTTCAAGTTCAACTTGTACATTCTGTTCTTCTTCATTTCTACTCGGGCAATCAAACAATCCGACTTGTCCTTCAGGTATAGTACTCGGTCTTTCATCAGAACCGAGTAGCCTTTCTCCATCAGCTGACCCATACTCAATATGTTGCTTTTGAGATCGGGTACATAGTACACGTCTCTGATTTCTCCACCTCGGCTATTCTTCTGTAGGTACCAGATTGTACCTCTGCCTTTTACCGCCACCTTTGATGCATCTCCAAATGATACGTGTCCGGCCTCAACTTTAGTGAGCTCCTTGAAAAGGTTCTTGTCCCCACACATGTGGTTACTTGCTCCTGTATCAAGTACCAAACCGAGTTGTCAGAACAGCTCGGACTTAGCTCGACATCCGAACTTCTCGACATCATCAATACTCATTCTTCCTCAGTGTCCTTAGAGAGGAGGTTTGTCTCCTTCTTCCTCTCAGATCGGCAGTCCTTCACAAAATGCCCAACCTTCCCACAATTATAACATTTGATACCTGAATAACAGTCCTTAGCAAAATGACCGTACTTCCCACATTTGAAGCACTCAACTCCGGAATTGCTTGATTGACCACCTCGGCCTCTACCGTCACGACCTCTACCTTGTCTTCGGCCACGCCAGTTTTGTTGACTGACTAGCTCCTTACCTCTTTCATATTCTCCTCTGCCTCTACCACCTCGGCCTTGAGTGTTCTGAGCATAAGGAACCTTCTTCTCCTTTAAGGTTGCCTTGCTTGGAGTGCTTGATCAAGGGACTCCTCTTTCTTCTTCCTTCTCCGCTGCTCATGCGCTTCAAGTGACCTGGCAAGCTCTTCCACCGAGAGCACCGACAAGTCCTTGGACTCTTCTATTGCACAAATGATATTCTCAAAGTCGTCAGTTAACGACCTTAAGATTTTCTCCACCACTCGGCAAGTGGGCAGCGTCTCTCCATTTCTTCCGATTTGATTCACCACGGTCTCAACACGGGAGATGTACTCGGCAACCTCTTCGACCTCTTTCATCCTCATGCTTTCAAGCCCGCCTCTAAGAGTTTGAAGCCTGACTTGCTTCACGCGATTATCCCCTTTATATGCCTTCTCCAGAATATCCCACGTTTCTTTTGAAGATTTAGCATTTGCTATCTTCTCAAAGCTGGACTCATCAACAGCTCGGTACAGCACGTACAAAGTCGTTTTGTCCTTTACTCGTGTTGCTCTCAATGCAGCAAACTAGGCAATTGTGTGCTCTTCAATATTCTCTGGTTCTTGGTGCCCATTTTCGACCACATCCCATACTTCCTGGGAATCAAGGAGAGCCTTCATTTGCAGGCTCCAGTTATCATAGCTTACGCCTTTTGATAACTTTGGCAGGGGCATGCTGTTAGCTAAGTTGGCCATCTCGAACAAACTCCCTAACTCTCAAACACTCTCTCTAACGCACTCAGACACTCAAGCTCTCAAGCTCTGATGCCAATTTGTTGACAAACAAGTATCTAAATAAAATACTCTGTATATTATCACTTGATGTATTTGCAATGAGTGATACATATTCAATTTATAAGCCTTTGGATATGGTCTCTCAACTACATGCATTTAATACAACTACTACCTTTTAACTACATATATTCAATACAACTACTATCTCTCAACTACATACATTCAATACAACTACTACCTCTATAACCACTACCTCTCAACTATATGCATTTAACTACATATATTTAATGTTTACCTAACATTGAGTTTCCACAATGATCCTTACAGGCGAAAGGCATCCACCACATCTCAAATCCATAAACTAGCGCCCTGTTCATCATAGCGTAGGAATATGGATTTGAATCCAAACCCCACCAAGACATGGGAGAAACCAACTTTATAAGACAACCAACTTCAAAGTCCGTTGCTTTTAAGTCACCAGCGATAGCATATATATAGCCTTCGGAGTGCCACTTCACGCACGGAGTAGTATTCACGTACTTAGAATTGTCATTCACTGGATGCCTACAATTCATGCAAATTATGTGCTCGAAAATACGCTTCTGATAAGAACTAACTTCAAACAACTGGGTTTGAGTGGCTCTGTACGGATCGGCGGCGTGAACAAGATTAGTATCACTGAAATTGGATTGAGACAAGAAATAGCGAGGTAGGGAGGAGCAACTTGGTTCTTCAACTCCCGGATCAACCACTCGGATTGTGAAATTATGGTAGTTGATTGCCTGCATGATATTTTTCCCAGTACAAATATAACACCGTAACATTATTTTCACAACTCAGTTCATACCTGCGGTCGCCGCAATGTATTGGGTCACTGATGAGTGGATAAAATATCATTACATTCATGCATTAATTTAGGTTAATTTCATATGTTGTTGCATTATGGGAACGATTTCATCATGCATTATCGTTGTTTTAGATCATACATGTGGTTTGTGCATTGTTCTTGTAAATAGGTGTTTGGAGGTTTAAATTCATAGTTTGGAGGGAGTTGGTGTAAAGATAGAAATATTTCATATCAGCAAGTTCCACAGGTACCTTGTGAAATGTTCCACAACCTGTGGATTTGGTACCAGAATGCAAAGATCAAGATCAGAGAGCTCCACAGGTGAGTTGTGGATGTTTCCACAACCTGTAGATTTGTGGTTCAGAAGGCACAGTTGAAGTCAGAGAGCTCCACAGGTGGGTTGTGGATTTTTCCACAACATGTGGAAATTCAAGACAGTTATGAGAAGTGGTAACTACCTCAACAAGTGGAGAAAAAACGTGGGACACCCTATAAAGAAGGTGGAACGAAACTGAAAAGGGGGGAAGAACCATTCTAGAATTTTTTACGTTCTAGTTATTATCTTTTAGCAATTTTTACATTATGCAAAACTGATTTTCCTGTTGTTAGAGGATTGATGTAGTACTCTGAATTATATTTTCTTGTTCTTGATAATTGATGTTTAGTTAATGGTCTTTATCTCAGTGTTCTATTTATAATTTTCAAGTTCATTCCACGAGTAGTTTCACAATTGGGAGATTGGAGGTTGTTCGCGATCCTAAATATAACAGGTTAGGGTTTGTCACAATTGGGAAATTGGGCATATATCTAATTAGTTTGCAATAGAGAAGATTATTGTTTTTTAATGATTTTATTGAATGGCGTAACTGACCTAAGGGATTGGGGGTTCAGATTCAATGAATAGTTTTGCCTACTAAGGGATTAGGGGTAAAACAACTCTGGGTAAACTCAAGTGGATAATTACATTTCTTGCATCAATTGAAAGGACTGGAATTATATAGGGAAGGGTATGAAATCAATTCTCTAACCGATCTTATTTTGACTAAAGTTCTTATTATAATTCTGTGTTTGTTTTCTTTTATCCAATTTTTCAATTGCTCAAACTTACGTACATTAGGAATCTAGTATTCAACAAATTCAATCCTAGAGGACGATATTTTATTACTACGTTAACGATTGGTGCACTTGCCAAACGATCATCAAGTTTTTGGCGCCGTTGCCGGGGATTGATTTTTCTGTTGATATTAGTGATCTAATTCACTTAAGATGTGAGTGTTAGTTTTTAGGTAGTCAAAACTGTTTTTATTTTAGTTATTTTGTTTTTCTATTTTCATTATCTTGTTTGTTTTTTTGTTGTCACGTTAATTTTGTTGTTCGAATATTGTATTCTTTTTAAGTTGTTTATGCGAGGTATAGTGGCAAAAAAAATTTTGCTTTTTGACCCATAAATTGAACATTCTGCTAGACATAATAGAAGTGAGACAAGAAAGAAGAAGCAAAAAGGAAAAGCAGAGACATCAAGTAAAAAGGAAGAGCACGTATCAACAATGGCAGAGGAACAACCAGAGAGAAAAACTCTTCTTGATTATTCTATGCCAGACGTGAATAATTACCAAGGGAGTATTGTGAGACCTCCTATTCAAGTCAACAATTTTGAAATCAAGCCTGCATTGCTACAAGTCATCCAACAGAATCAATTTGGAGGTGCAGTTGCAGAGGATCCTAATTCTCATCTAGAGAATTTTCTAGCCATCTGTGATACTTTGAAGCTTAATGGAGTTTCAAGTGAGGCAATCCGCTTGAGGCTTTTCCCTTTCTCATTAAGGGAAAAAGCTAAAAGCTGGCTTCAAACACAACCTCAAGGAAGCATCACTACATGGGAAGATATGGCTAAAAAATTTGTAACCAAATACTTCCCTCCATCCAAGTCAGCAAGAATGAGAAATGAAATCACTACTTTTGTGCAGCAAGAGACTGAATCTATGTACGAGGCTTGGGAGAAGTACAAGGAGCTATTGAGGAAATGTCCACATCATGCTTTACCAGATTGGTTACAAGTCCAGATATTTTATAATGGTCTTGTACCCTCTTTTAGAGCAATGTTGGATGCAGCAAGTGGAGGAGCATTCAATCTGAAGACACCAGCAGAAGCCCTGGAAACTATTGAGTTAATGGCAAATAATACAGGGAATATGCAGTTTGATCGTCAAAATAGAAAAGGTGGAATGTTAGAAGTTAACACTTTGGATGCTATCCTAGCCCAAAACAACTTGTTAACACAACAAATGACCGAGTTGACTAAGAAGATTGATAATGTGCAAGTGAAAGCAGTGAAGACAACACCTTTAACATGTGATTTTTGTGGAGGAATGCATCAAAATGGTGAATGTCAAGTCACTCAACAAGAGGTGCAGGTGAATGCAGTGGGCCAACATCAGAATCAGTTTGCTAACCATTTCAATACAAATTGGAGAAGCCCATCAAACCAACCTTGGAGTGGATCGAATCAATCCAATCAGCCAAAGCTTCCATATCAATATCAACCACAATCTAACTACCAAGGAACTAAGATGTTTACTTTTGAGAGAGCTTTAGAGAAGTTAACTGAGCAAACCTCAACATTTGTGGAACAAACTTCTAATTTCATGAATGAGACAAAGACAAATTTCAAGAATCAGGAAGCTTCAATCAGAAATTTGGAGAACCAAATTGATCAACTTTCACGACATATCTCAGAGAGATCTCCTGGAACATTTCCTAGTGACACCATTACCAACCCAAAGGAACAATGTAAGGCAATTCAATTGAGGAATGGGAGATTGGTAGAGAATGAGAAAAGGAGTGAGATGGGTAGTGAGAGAAAAGAACAAAGAGAGGAGATTGTGATAGAGAGTGAAAAGAAAGAGCAGAAAAATTGTGAAGAGGAGAATGAGGGAGAGAAAAGTCAAGAGAGTGAAAAGGGTAAAATGAGAGAATATGTTCTCACTATTCCATTCCCTCAAAGGTTGAAGAAGAAAGAACAAGAGAAGCAATTTGCAAGATTTCTTGATGTCTTTAAGAAGCTCCACATTAATATCCCATTTGCTGAAGCATTGGAGCAAATGCCAAGCTATGCTAAATTCATGAAGGACTTGTTGTCAAGAAAAAGGAAGCTACAGGAGGATGAAACCATAATGCTTACAGAGGAGTGCAGTGCAATCATTCAACAAAAATTACCTCCCAAATTGAAGGATCCAGGAAGTTTTGTCATTCCATGTGAGATTGGAAATTTAATGGTAAGCAAGGCATTGTGTGATCTTGGGGCGAGCATCAATTTGATGCCCTTGTCCATTTTTAAAAGGTTGGGTATTGGAGAAGTGAAGTCTACTATGATAACTCTCCAATTGGCGGACCGATCAATGACTTATCCTTATGGAGTGGTGGAGGACGTCTTAGTGAAGGTTGATAAATTTATTTTTCCAGCTGATTTCGTGGTCCTTGACATGGAAGAAGATACTAAAGTCCCAATTATATTGGGAAGACCATTTTTAGCCACAGGAAGAGCATTAATAGATGTACAACAAGGTAAATTGATGTTAAGAGTAGCTGATGATAAAGTCACTTTCTCCATATATGAAGCAATGAAGCATAAGGTGGACAACGAGGATTGTTTCCGGGCTGAAATCATCGAGTCTCTGGTATTAAAAGAAAGGGGTAATCACTTGAGGAAGAGTACGTTAGAGCAAACTCTGTTTTCTGGAATGGGAGCAAAGGAGTTGATTCAAGAAGTGAGTGAAGAAGAAGTGGTGCAGTGTGCTCATCAATTAGAAGCTCTCAAGCCATTATTCAGTTCCACTAGAAGAATAGAAGACTTAAACAGGAGTGACATTGGCGAAGAAGAGACATCTACGGTAGAGTTGAAACCACTCCCTTCTCATCTTAAATATAAATTCTTAGATGACACAAAGCTTAATCCTATTATTATAAGCAATGCACTGACTATTGTTGAAGAAGAAAAGCTTTTAAGGGTATTGAGAAGCACAAATCTGCTATAGGTTGGAAAATTGATGATTTGAAAGGTATTAGTCCCACTTTATGCATGCATAAAATCTTTTTGGAAGAGGACTTCAAACCTATTCGACAACCACAAAGAAGGCTCAACCCCACAATGAAGGATGTGGTAAAGAAGGAAGTAATCAAGCTTCTAGACGCAGGCATTATTTGTCCAATTTCTGATAGTGAGTGGGTAAGTCCAGTTCAAGTGGTACCCAAGAAAGGTGGGATGACAGTAGTAACAAATGAAAAAAATGAGCTTATTCCCACAAGAATAGTTACAGGGTGGCGCATGTGTATTGACTACAGAAGATTGAATCAAGCCACAAGAAAGGACCATTTTCCACTCCCGTTTATAGATCAAATGCTTGAGAAATTGGTCAGGCAAGAATACTATTTTTTTCTAGATGGTTATTCAGGTTACAATCAAATAGTAGTGGCTCCTAAAGATCAAGAAAAGACAGCGTTTACATGTCCCTATGGAGTTTTTGCTTACAGGAGGATGCCTTTCGGTCTCTGCAATGCACCAACAACATTTCAAAGGTGTATGTTTTCCATTTTCTCTGATTTAATTGAAAATTGCATTGAGATCTTCATGGACGATTTTTCTGTGTTTGGCTCTTCATTTGATTCTTGTTTATCTAACTTGACTTTAGTGTTAAAAAGATGTCAAGAAACTAATTTAGTGTTAAATTGGGAAAAGTGTCAATTTATGGTGAAAGAAGGTATTGTTCTTGGTCATAAAATTTCTGCTAAAGGTATAGAGGTGGATAAAGAAAAATTGGAAATAATTGAACAATTACCTCCCCTGTGAATGTAAAAGGGGTAAGAAGTTTTTTAGGTCATGCCGGTTTTTATAGGCGGTTCATCAAAGATTTTTCCGAAATAGCAAAGCCTATGACTAATCTT